CTACTACAAATAAAGAAAATACACAATATGTTCTTTTAAAAAGAAACAAAAATTACACCGAACAAGTGATAAATTAAAAGTGGATCAAGTGTAAAATGGTGTTTATGCATACATCAAGAGAGGAACTAAATGACAGCAAATTGAAGAAACAAAAGTATAGTGACTGGAAACTGAAATGATTTTTATTGCTGAATATTGAAAGCAGAACAACTATAACAAGAAACTATGATGAAAAGATGAGAATTTGACACACAGTGCAACTGGTCATTCTTCTTATTTATAGACAGCAAAATAACAGAATTTGTTGTAACTCTCTACTAAAAACGTGGCTTCATATCAGATAAAAATCTGGTATGCTCCAGCAGCTCCACTTTATTAGGACTCCACTAACAGTCTTATTTGACTTGGTCTTCAACAATCTCCCACTTGAAGACACGTTTCTTGAAACAAAACAAACAAAAAAATGAAAAAGGAATCAAATTTCTTCAAGTCCAATTGAAGACTTGCACCAATTGAACTTGTCACGGGCCACTGGTTTTGTTAACATATCTGCTGGATTTGAACTTGTGTGAACCTTGTGCAGAAGTATCTTCCCATCTTCAACTAATTGTCGAACAAAATGATAGTGGACATCGATATGCTTTGTGCGAGAGTGAAAAGTTGGATTCTTAGCCAATAACAAAGCACTTTGACTGTCACAATGCATAGAAAACGTGTCCTGCTTCATTTTAAATTCTGCAAGCAACCTCTCCAACCAAATAGCTTCTTTGCAAGCATGAGAGATAGAGATATACTCTGCCTCTGTTGTTGATAAGGCTACAACCGACTGCAATTTAGACTCCCAGCTAACTGCACCACCTGCCATGATAAAGACATTACCAGAAGTTGATCTTCTTTTATCTCTATCTCCGACAAAGTCTGCATCAACAAAACCAACACAATCGGGTTCCATTGACCTGTAACATAATGAAACACTTGAAGTGTCCTTTAAATATCTAAGGATCCACTTCACTGCATCCCAATGAACACGACCAGGATTTGCCATGTATTTGCTAACAGCTCCCAGTGCTTGTGCAATGTCCGGCCTAGTTCCGACCATAGCAAACATAAGACTCCCTACTGCTGATGAGTATGGTACTCGAGACATCGCTGCCTTCTCTGCTTCAGTGCTGGGTGAGTATTCTGAAGACAACTTAATATGAACAGGAAAGGGGGTACTCACTGGTTTAGCATTCTGCATATTGAAGCGCCGCAGAACCCTTTCTATGTAGTTCTTTTGATTCAACCAGATCTTCCTGTCCTCTCTATCTCTAAATACCTTCATCCCAAGAATTTGATTCACGGCTCCCAAGTCCTTCATATCGAATTCCCCAGCAAGTTGAGCTTTTAATGTAGAGACATAAGTGGGACTATTTCCTGCAATAATCATGTCATCTACATACAATAACAAGATACAGAAGCATCCATCATTATAATCACAAAAATAAGCACAATGATCAGCTTCACATCTATGAAATCCCAAGCTCACGATAAAGGAATCAAACTGCTTATACCAGCATCTAGGCGCCTGTTTCAGACCGTAAAGCGATTTGTTCAGCCGACAAACCAAACTTCTATTATTTTCTTCAACAAAGCCTTCAGGTTGTGTCATATAAATTTCTTCATTCAAATCACCATGCAAGAAAGCTGTCTTGACATCTAGTTGTTCTAACTCAAGATCAAGAGAAGCAGCAAGAGCTAAAACAACTCTAATAGTAGTCATACGAACAACTGGTGAGAAAACTTCATCAAAATCAATACCAGGTTTTTGGGCATACCCTTTAATCACAAGTCTGGCTTTGTATCTTTCTATATTCCCTTTTGAGTCCTTCTTCAACTTGTATATCCAGCGACAGCCAATTGCCTTTCGACCTTCTGGTAGCTGAACAAGATCCCAAGTTTTGTTCTTGTGCAAAGACTCCATCTCCTCCTCCATTGCACTTCGCCATTAGTCTGAATTGACAGACTCACAAGCCTCTTTGAAAGAAGTTGGCTCATGTTCTTCTGACAAAGCAAGATAAGCACATACATAATTAGATTGAGGCTTCAAAGATGTAACATAGTCATCATACCTCGCTGGAGGTCTAATGGCCCTTCGAGGTTGAGGCGAAATAGCATCACCATATGAAGTTCCTTCATGTAAAAGCTCAAACTCAGGCTCAGACTCAGATTGAGGATCATTTTGAATATTTTCCTCCTGTACAGCATCATCAAAACTAGCTTCTTGCTCAATAACAAGCTTCCTTGCTTCTTCATTTTTAGTTTTGCCTTGAAAAACATCTTCATTAAAAACCACATATCGGCTAATAATAAGCTTGCGGGCAGTAGGATCCCACAATCTGTACCCCTTTGTACCTGTCTCATAGCCAAGAAAAATACATCTTTTTGAATTTTTGTCAACTTTGGTTCTTTTCTCCTTAGGCACCCAAACATAAGCATCACATCCAAAGATTCGAAGGAAAGAATAATTTGCAGGTTTACCAGACCAAACCTCCTCCGGAGTTTTCAACTTGAGAGAAACAGTGGGTGAGCGGTTGATTAGATAGCATGCAGTGTTAACAGCTTCAGCCCAAAATTCCTTCCCCAATTTTGCAGTGCTCATCATGCATCTAGCACGCTCCATGAGAGTTCGGTTCATTCTCTCAACAACCCTATTCTGCTGTGGTGTTCCTGGTACTGTAAGATGTCTCTTAATACCATGCTCACTGCAAAAATCATCAAACTCCTTGCCACAAAATTCTCCCCCATTATCAGTTCGGAGACACTTAATTTTTGTGCCTTTTTGATTTTCTACTAATGCTTTAAATTTTTTGAATTTTTCAAAAGCATCAGATTTCCTTTTGAGCATGAAAATCCATACCTTTCGGGAGAAATCATCAATGAATGTCACAAAGTAAGAACACCCACCAATAGAAACA